GGGGGGCAGGAGCGATTGGGGGGGATGGTGGCGGTTTTGGAAGGAGGAGCAGTGGGGGTGTTTGGGGGGGGGGCGATGGGGGGTTGGGGTGGAGAGGCGATTGTGGGGGATGGGGGCGGTTTGGGAGGGAGGAGCGGTGGGGGGTTTGGGGGGAGGGGCGATGGGTGGATTTGGGGGTTTGGTGGGGAGGGGCGGTGAAGGGGGGTTTGGGGGGGTGGAAGGGAGTTTGGGGGGGGAGGGGCGTTGGGGAGGGGTTTGGGGGGGAGGGGCGGTATAGGGGGGTTTGGGGGAGGGGCGATGGGGGGGGGGGTTTGGGGGGGGAGGGGCGATGGGGAGGGGTTTGGGGGGGAGGGGCTGTATAGGGGGGTTTGGGGGGGGGAGGGGCGATGGGGGGTGGGGGGTTTGGGGGGAGGGGCGATGGGGAGGGGTTTGGGGGGAAGGGGCAGTATAGGGGGGTTTGGGGGGGGAGGGGCGATGGGGAGGGGTTTGGGGGGGAGGGGCGGGATAGGGGGGTTTGGGGGGGGGAGGGGCGATGGGGAGGGGTTTGGGGGGGAGGGGCGCTATAGGGGGGTTTGTGGGGGAGGGGCGATGGGGGGTTTGGGGGGGAGGGGCGATGGGGAGGGGTTTGGGGGGGGAGGGGCAGTATAGGGTGTTTGGGGGGGGAGGGGCGATGGGGAGGGGTTTGGGGGGGAGGGGCAGTATAGGGTGTTTGGGGGGGGAGGGGCGATGGGGAGGGGTTTGGGGGGGAGGGGCGGTATAGGGGGGTTTGGGGGGGAGGGGCGATGGGGGGTTTGGGGGGGAGGGGCGATGGGCTGTGATGGGGGCGGTTTGCGGGCGGAGGGGCGATTGAGGGGGGAGCGTTTCCACGAGGCGACGCTGCCCCACCCCCAGCACCACATTCACACGGCGGGTTCGACGGTCGCGTGGGAACGCGGGGGCCTAACACAGGTCCGCCACTCATTCTCACGAGCCCAGCTGTAAATATGGCATTTCTTATCACGCCGCTAAATGTTTCCCCCCTCCCCAAGTGGCAAATGGATGAGTCAGCAGATTGCTGAGTCACACAAATTCATCACGCGGCGCGCCCAGCACGTAAGTTGTCACCACGGCGAACTTGATAAGGGGCAGCCGTTGATGCCGTGAGAGGGCACGCGTCCATCCTCTATACCTATCAACCCCTTATCAGTACCCTAGCTTATTACAGACCAATTCAGACCTTATTGGTCACCCCGTGGCCCTTATAAATCTCAACGTCAATCCTACAAAGTCCCATCACATGGGAGAAACACAAATATAGATTTTTATTTTTTTTGCCCGTATTAAAACGGCTGTACGCCGTATGGACCTGAAACTCACTCAATTTCCGTGTACAAGAATACGGGGTGCACCGTATGTTACTGACGGGAATGCATTTCACGTGAGCTGGCTCAGAACGCGACGAGCTGCAAAGAGTTCTTGCCTCACACAGCCGCTCGTCAGGCAATGGCGCAACATTTACTGAGGAAGTCGACAGAGGAGGATAACTTAAACGCTCGTACGGACATGGACTTGGCACGACACAGGGGTTAAATCAATGCAGGGGCGCCAGTTATGGTGGTGGTGGGGGGGGGCTGATTATGTGGCACTAGGGGCCCAGTCAGCCACAAGGAGGGGGGGGGGCGAATCAATAGATAAACAAGTCCAACACATTTTAAGAATAAGTATTAAAAAATTTTAATTAATTTAAGGAACGAAAGAGGATGGCTTCTCCACAAATCTGGCTATCGCCTGATGGAGCTAGCTGGAATTACTGGCGAAACGTCGTATTCAGATTGTAAATGTTGTGGCTTGGCTCTGCAACACACCGGTGTGCTGTACTAGTATACTACACTATACTACTATACACTACACTACTATACATTACACTACTATTCACTACACTACTATACACTACACTACTATACACTACACTACTATACACTACACTACTATACACTACACTACTATACACTACACTATACACTACACTATACACTACACTATACACTACATTATACACTACACTATACACTAAACTATACACTAGTGCTGTACTAGTGACGAATTGGCACGTTCTGTTTACGTGACAACCCTTACTGATCGGCTGTGTCGGGTGGTGGTGGGTTTAACGACACACATTTATATATTTACGTGATCTAACCCAAACAAAACCCCTGTATTTTTATTCACTACAAATTACCTGCGGTCTCTCATGAACCAAACCCAATAAAAGCATCTGGCTAGGGTATCAATGGAGCCTAATGTTGCGCGATCCACACCCCCGTTTAAGTAAATCCTAGACCGATGGGCCAGCATGAAAGCGAGACGCACGATAACTTGTGAGCATTGTGCCTTTTAACATCTTTTCATCAATAACTGTCACCGAGACTCTCCTTCCTTTACACCGAGTAATAATATATACACATAGTTCGAGCCTAACATGGTATTGTAAACGGGTTAAAAAAAAAACTTCCGCAGTGGCTATTTCAGTGAAAGTGAGTCGGGAGAAAGTCGCTCGTGTGTGGGGGGGGGGGGGTCTCACAGTCGTATCCTGCACACCCCCTGTTGAAATAGGGAGTTGCGTCCATGGGCGGAGTTTGCCGGGAGGGGGGGGGGGCAGCCCCCCGCCCAAACTGGGCACCTTTATTTATTTATCAGCAGTTTACAAAATTAAGATTTCAAGTAAATAAATTATTCATATGCACCCGCGGCTCCTCATGCACAGCTGTCAACCCCTTTATCAGTGCCTACCTTATTACAGACCAATTCAGACCTTATTGGTCACCCCGTGCCCTTATAAACCTCAACGCTCATCCTATAAAGTCCCATAACAAGGGAGAATCACAAACAAATACACACAAAACAATGTTGTGCCCCTTATTGAAACGGCTGTACGTCGTATCGACCTGAAAACTCAGTTTCCCTGTACAAGAATTCGGGATGAACCGTACGGGTTGACGGGTATGGTGTATTCCTAATGTGACGGACAAATCGAACCCCTGCATCCCCCCCACCCCCCCCCCCCCAAATATAGAAGTCAAACTCCGCACTATGTCATGGGGCACTCCGCACTATGGCTGCGCCCCTGAATCAAAGTGAGAAGAACCGTCGCTCGCACCGCGCGGCAATGCCCTTGCCCACCTGCCGTCGCCCCGAGGCAGGGGCTACGGCAAGAGATGCCGCCACCGCCTACAGAGGGGGCCGCTTCTACTCGGAAAGGGGCTCGGCGTCTCTCTTCCTTTGTGGAGAAAGAAATCAGGACCAAGGGTGGGAAACGCAGGGCCCCTCGCGGAAGACAACTCACAATAGCGGACTGACTCCGTTGCTTCAAGGGGGGGGGGGGGGAGGGGGGGCATTCGTTTGCTCTCATACCCAAGGACTGCTGGCCTTTCTCCCACACAGCCACTTTCATAACAGAGTTATCTTTTACCAATTTTTCACCTCAGTGCTTTCAGCAGCTTGCAAAAAAAAACTAAATTTGACGATACATTTTAATTTCATCACGAGCAAAAAAAACGTAAGTAATAAACATCTGCGCGGTCCAGCTGTTGACAACATAACCCCCCCCCCGCCCCTTTACATATACCGTGAACAACAACAAATAGCAAGACTTGAGCAAGTCGTTGTGATTCACGGTGAAGCGTATTCTAGATCAACACAATCGGTCAATGTGGCAAAATAATTCACAGCAACCACGCGCGCGTTCAACATCAATCTCGCATCCGAGAGCACCGTGCGTCCAAATCAAATCTCCATCGACTCCCGCACTGAACCGTGATTCGAATGGGCACAGTGGCAGTGGGAATAGTTAAATACTGTACAGCCATACCTCGATATACGATGGAGATGCGTTCCTGGAGCTTCTTTCGTCTATTCAAACTGCGTATGCTGAATAACTTATAACATTAGTACTTTGAAGATGCATTTCACACTATAAACACTTCAGAATTTACCATTTATATTCTAAAGAAAGACAATTTATAATAAAAATAATGTTATCCTGTACAGTATAAAAAAATACATAAATAAAATAAACACAGTGAAGAAACATAATTGTATTCTTATTCATATAGTACCGTAGATTGATGAATGTATTATTAATGTATTAAAGTCTTCTTTGGTTCTTTCGGTAAAGTCACGTAGAATTAGAATGAAATAATAAATTAATAATAGATTGTGTTATTTTATTAATTTATTATTTTATTCTCATTCTACGTGACCTTACCGAAAGAACCACAGAAGATGAATCCTTGCAGTCACGAAAGCTTTAAATCTAAATGTATTAATGTTAGCGTATTATTTTACTTTATTTTTAGCTTGCTGTGTTTTTTTCGAATGTACGCATATCGAGGTATAACCACGTATATTTGTTCAAAGCTCGGAGGCAAAACCGTCACCAAAGCTTTCAAGCAACATGGACACTGCCAAAACACCTCGTGGCATTGGCACGGCAAGGGTTAAATATTGGTAATGCAGGTGCACACTAAAGCACTTTAATCAAAAGCAAAGTTTCCAAATTCACAGGGGTAAATGCCCTTTCCAAAGACCTCACGCAGAATCCACTCCGCTATTTTCATTATCGTATTAAACCTGCTTCATGGTTCACACGGCGATTGACCGCAGCTCAAAACCGCGAAACATGCGCCAGACCACGTCGGAGCCCCAAGGCCGTGCGTTCATTTCTCTCGAGAGAAATGAACGCACAGCACGTGTGTGGGTTTTTGACCTCAGATTGCCATCAGCCAGCCGCCCTCTCCCGCACGTACACTGGTGCAGCGCGAACGATGTTTCCCAGAGCTTAAGAGCAGAGCAACTTCCCGATTAGATTACGGTGCACGCCGTCGAAACCGACAAACGCGAGGCGGCCTGAGCTGTTCGGTTGCCGTCACGAACGAGTTGGAATAAAGGCACTCGCCAGAACTAATGCTCAAGCACGTCTCACGAATTACCGTGAAAAATAACGGGGGAAATCGTTTGCTTACCACGCAGCGCGTGCGGTACGAGACCTGCTGCTCGCGTGCTGGTGCGTCTGGCGTCACTAAACGCACCGTTCCCGTCACAGCCTCCGCGGCGCGCACCGCTCCGAGATCTCTCCGGCGTTCGTCGGCCGGCCGCACGCCGCTCCCTCGACGAGCAACTCTCCCGTGCCCTGCTACGGCACACAGTCAGCGCGGCGTGCGGCGTGAGATGGGGGGGGGGGGTGGGCGGCGTGGAGTCGGGAGGGGGGGGGGAGTGTGGGCGGTGACGCCACTCGGCTCTTCCTTGGTGCAGCGCTAACGTGGGAGGTCACCTTTAGGGAAAGCACTGCGGTCACACTGCTACAGCTGGCCATTGCCACCCCACTGAACTCACATCTTCACAGCATTGTGAACACCTCGTTAGTGCAGTAAAGTGCCAATGGATGAAGAGGGTATTGGTGGAGACCTAATGCACGACACAGGGGGGTTGAACCGCAATCACAGGGTCCATGACGTATGTGCAACGCAGATTTCACAATATTACATCCCTGAAGCTCATTAGATGCCAAAGCGGATAATGGGCGTGTGTGTGAGTGTGTGAGTGTAGGCGCGTATGAGATTAGATGGGCTAATGTGGGCCTGGAAGATTCTGAGCTGATTGAACTTGCCGGCGACAGGTACTAGCAGTGTAAAAATTGCCCTATTTGGAGGAGGCTCGTGAAGAACGCTACCGTATTGAGCAGTTGGCAGCAGGCACCCTCCAACAACACGGAGGAAGGAGGAGTGACGCTCACAACAGTGAGTGGAGTGCCAGGTGCCTCAATCACAGGATGGCACAGTGGAGGGGGGGGATGCAGCTGATGTATCTGTCAGTCGTCCTAGTGAATTAATCCATAACACCAGGGTCTGTCCCGTGACCTCTTGTCAGCAGTGAGACTTCTACATTTAACTTGGCCTCAAGGTGCACCTAGGCTGAATGGCAGTTGTTGTTGTTGCAAGTGCACGGTGTGGCAGGGACCGGTTCTGATATGCGTTGTTTTCCAAGTCTACTCAGTCTACTCGTCCACTTTAGGCTTCTGGAGGATGGTTTGGTCAGATCCCGACTGCCAAGATCAAAGCAGAACTTTGTGAACAACAAGACGAGACACATACAAAGAAGAGGCTTCAAGTACTCATTGTATTGCCTCCGTTCCTAGATGCAGTGTCCAGCCCAATGACATGGTGGAAATGGAGTGATGGCATTTGGGGAAATCAGCTTAAAAAAATACTCACCCTAAAATGTAATGTCAGTTCAAATAATAATAATAAATAAAAACATTATTACAATACACCGAAGTTAACTGTTTTGTATTTACATTCTATTTGGCTGGGCCACTGGTCTTCTAAATGAGCCACTTGCATTAGCGAGGCCAGTCACACACCGGCCTCCCCATCTGCCAGGCAATGCTGCCTCCGCCACAGCGGTGGGTCTTAAACTTTCCCGCACGATTACCCGACATCTCATTAGCGGTGGGGAAGCGCACACCGAGGGGGGTGGCCGAGCAGATGAACATTAAAGACAACCGGGGCACGGCCAAAAGCGCGCTCCCAAACGCGCCATGCCCGGTACTCTGGTCCTGTGGGTCGCCCCGTGGCCCGCCAGCGAGAACCCAAGGTTTCCCTCGCCCACACGGGCACCCAACGACCACTTATACCACCCGATCTACTCGCACAGCGGATGTGACCATCTCCCAAACCGAGAGGGCAAATTAATAGCAGCCGCACACTGCCACTGCGGTCGCCAGTCGCGAACCGTGGACCTCGTGGTAACGCCGCTGCCTGCTGAGATCGTTCGCCGGCAGAGTGCCTGGTGTGGTGTGTAAACATCGCCACTGGGGAGACAAAGGCGGCCGGCGTGGTGTTGGCCACCCACCCTCCTCGTGTGCCGTGCCGGCCTTCATAGGTGCTCGCTAACAGCACTTGCCCCAAAAGTATGTAAAGGCTATACGGGGGATCTTTATATTTTCTGTACATTTGTCTATGGGACTCTATGTAAAAATATTAACCAGGCTACTCCAGAAGCCATCCACTGGCTCACTCACAAACCTCCACGTGAATGTACAAACGTTGCTGATCAACTCCGCGCCGTATGAAAGAGGAAGACTGGGGACACATTCTGGCAATTCTCATGAGCAATCGTTAGAGGAGTAGGCCATAGTTGCCGTGCCATTCTCCACTGTTTTCTCGACAGAACTCCAACTATGTACTATTTCCGTAAAAGTTTTAATAACGGCAATTATTTAGCCAGGAAAGCCTCATCGAGCCGTTTTCAGCAGGGTCATGCGTTGGGATATTTGACCGATTATATTCGTAATAGAATATTTGAGGTGCCATGGTGGGGAGATGTTAATTACATCGCTTGGCATACAGGAGGTCGTGGGTTCTATCCTGACCCTGACGCCTGCTGTATATTTGGGGTTTGCGTGTCTCTCTCCCCATGGACGCATGGCTTTTTCTCCAAGTCCTCCGGCTTTTTTCCTCCACATGTAGAAACGTGCGTTTCGACTATTTGGCTGCTATAAATTTCCACACGATAAGTACACTTCGTTGGGCTATTATTTGTGGCCAAGTCGCTTCTGAAAAAGAGCTATATAGCACAGTGGGCCTTACTTGGTAAAATAAAAAAAGGAGTTTTTAGTTTTAATAAGCATTTGAGCAACCATACCTTTGCGAGTATATGCGTTTCCAGTGAAAGTTGCAACTACAAATGCCCTAAATTTACCCTAGTGGCCTTTACGGACACACGAGCTGCCTTCATTATCTCAATGCGAGCACGCGGAGTCGCTCCGAGTCAGCTTTGCGAGGCCTGGAGTAGCTCAGCCCTGATCCAGACACCGTGTCCACAGTGTTGCACATCTGCAGAAACATTTCCCTCTTTGACTGAAACTCAAGCAGCACCTGGATTGTCGCACACTTGGGCAGGCACGAGATTTTATAGTCACCAAGGGAAACTGACCCGAAACCCTTAGATGTAATCAGCTCAGAACACATGCCATTTTTTTACAATGTGGCCAAAAGCAGCAGGCACCGTGCATGCAACATTGGAAATTGCCCCGTAGCCAATGAAAGGTGGGGGTCACCTCGCCCCACAAAGGAAATTTCAATTTCCTAAAACCTTCTGATTCGAAATTTCTCTGTGAAAAAGAGCTTCATAGCTCATCGGATTTCTCCAGGATAAATAAAGATTCTGATCTTCTCTCATTCCCCTCGCCACACTCCCCTCCCCCCAACCCGTGCTCTGTGCTGGTACACGAATTGAAAGCCTGGGCAAGAGACCTGAGCTCTCAACTCCCACTGAGTCACGACCACATCTCCAGCGATAGAACACGCGTCCGTTTAACCATTCCCCGCCACTTGCAATGCACTATCCATTTACGATAGAACTGCGGTTAACGTATTGTTTAAAGAGGTCACTTCCATTCAATAAACATACTCCTCTGGGCATTTGATTGTCGCTCAGAGTGAGTTTAAAATGAGTCACCTCCATAGCCTATTTGTTTTGATGTTAACTATCGTGTTCATGCCTGTTAGATTAACCTTCTCTTGCTATGCTGAGGTGCAACTTTCATGGGATCAACCTGCGACCGTGCCCCCTGTTATATTTGTCCGGGACAGATGTTTGATAATCCTGATCCATTGGCCTCTTACCACACGAATACAGGGTGATTAAAAACATAATTTTACACTTTCGAGAATTTACAACGATACCACGAGAAATGTGCTGCCTCCGAGCTCTGGAGACCACCTGGAGAAGATTCCAGGCCACGTGTTGACAATGATAGCAAACAAATGGAGACTCTTTGATTTTTTGAAGCTATTCACGTACATTTGTTATCATGTTACAGTGTATTATCCGTTATTTTTCCATTAAAAACGATAGTCCCGTATAAGTGTTACCATCTTTTGAAACACCCTGTATAAAATGTATTGACGAAGTTCACTGGGAACAGAAAACTTATAGATTCTGGAAAAGGGATATCAAATACCAGTTATGCCAACACTTTGTAGACTATGGGAAGCCACAGTCGGATTCAGTAATCCTCTCACAAAACCAAACACCTAAATAAAAAGCATATTTAAAGTAATATCAATTTGCTAAAAATGGAACTCCTACACCAGTGTTCTTCATTGCAAAGCCCACGGGCGACTGGCGGCCACTGGTGACCTTTAGTGGGCTCCTGGTGGCCTTTAGTGCGGCCCATGGTGGCCTTTAGTGCTGTCCCTGGTGGTCTTTAGTGAGCTCCTGGTGGCCTTTAGTGCAGTACCTGGTGGCCTTTAGTGTGGCACCTGGTGGCCTTTAGTGAGGCACCTGGTGGCCTTTATTGGGCCCCTGGTGGCCTTTAGTGAGGCCCCTGGTGGCCTTTAGTGGGCTCCTGGTGGCCTTTAGTAGGCTCCTGGTACCTTTAGTGAGGCCTCTGGTGGCCTTTACTGAGGCCCCTGGTGGCCTTTAGTGGGCTCCTGGTGGCCTTTAGTGGGCTCCTGGTGGCCTTTAGTGGGCTCCTGGTGGCCTTTAGTGGGCTCCTGGTGGCCTTTAGTGCGGCCCCTGGTGGCCTTTAGTGGGCTCCTGGTACCTTTAGTGAGGCCCCTGGTGGCCTTTAGTGCGGCCCCTGGTGGCCTTTAGTGAGGCCGCTGGTGGCCTTTAGTTGGCTCCTGGTGGCCTTTAGTGGGCTCCTGGTGGCCTTTAGTGGGCTCCTGGTGGCCTTTAGTGCGGCCCCTGGTGGCCTTTAGTGGGCTCCTGGTGGCCTTTAGTGAGGCCCCTGGTGGCCTTTAGTGGGCTCCTGGTGGCCTTTAGTGAGGCCCCTGGTGGCCTTTAGTGGGCTCCTGGTGGCCTTTTGTAGGCTCCTGGTGGCCTTTAGTGGGCTCCTGGTGGCCTTTAGTGGGCTCCTGGTGGCCTTTAGTGGGCTCCTGGTGGCCTTTAGTGGGCTCCTGGTGGCCTTTAGTGCAGCCCCTGGTGGCCTTAAGTAGGCTCCTGGTGGCCTTTAGTGTGGCTCCTGACCCACCACATCAACGTGCTGCTGTCAACACCAACAATCGTTTCAAATGCGGTGGCCCTCACACTGATGATGTCTTATCGGCGAAAGTGGCCCCCTTCTAAAAATGAGTGAAGAGTACTGTGATACACTGAGATTTTTTTTGACTCAACCACATTCGTCA